ATTAATCTCAATCTTTTGTTTCTAATTTCCCCTCTATAAATCTTATCTCCTGTAGGAATCTCTGGAAGGAAGTTTATTTGCAATATTTTTGGACATTTTTGGCATTTTTTTTTTTTGCAAAAAGAGTTCAATTTTTCTTTGAGGCATTGTAGCTGTTTTCATGTTGTGTTTTTCTTTTGAGTTTGTGTCTTTGATCTTCCATGTCACTATAATAGATTTCTACAGTTAGGTACTTTTGTTGTCTTTTACTCATTTTTGTAGTCTGTTTCTTGACTTTGAACTCTATGTTAAAGTTGGTCTCTGCTCACCTGGAGGAAGGGAGCCATTGTCCCAAGCTTCAAACATTTTTGTGCTTCTGTTTTCATAGCTAGTTCTGGGTCTCTGCAAGTTGTCAGCACTTCCAAGATGGTGTTATCCTGGGGCAAGTGTTGTCACTGGTCTCCTGGTCTGTGCCCTGTTCATTACCCAGGAGGGTTCCTGCTCCACTGCAGCAGCAAGCACAAATGTTCCTCTCCACCCTGCAGCTGCAACCTTGCTGTGCTCCCTTGTGACCAATCATAAGAATTCCTCTCCACTCTAACTGTGATCCTGAACTGTATATGAGCAAGGGATTTGCCACACAGAATATGGTCCTATGCCCAGTGTCATCTCAGGGTCCCCTGTATTCTCTTTCTGACCAATTATTCCTTACCATCTCTGGGATGAGAGCTCTATATAACAGCTGCCTCCAAAGCCCCCTGCGAGTATTGCCACCACATGTGTTCTAGGCCAGCAACCCTCCCCCTGCCCCGCAGTATCACAGACCTTTCCTTCTGACCTCCTGAGTTGTCTTATGCTGGGAAAATGTCTCACATCAACTTTTTGTTGACTATGCCGCTCCAGAATTCAATTTTATGTGTTATTTTAAAGAAATTTGGAGGACAACATTGTGAGATTTTGGCTGGGTTGTTACCTCCACCCCCACCATTTTCTCTCTGCCCCCCCTTTATTTAGCAGTTTTACCTGAGAATGATTGAAGGGGCCCCAACTCTACAAGTTGAGGTGATACTTTACTCCTTTCTCATGTCAAGGATGACATCATGTGATGACAATTGCAGTGAAATTGTCCTTCTTTTTACCTTCACAGAAGAGTTGCTTACCTAGAAGATGTGGGTGTATAGTTCCTATCAGTGGGCTATTCTGTCTTACTTGATAAAAAAAAAAAGCTGCTTTGGAAACAACTGTAAATCCTAAGGAATTTTATCTAAAACCCTGGGGACAGTTTTGCACTGCTGCTAAGATACTCCAAATGTGAATCCAAATACCTGTTATTTTTTCACTGTTCTTTATCAGGTAAATACATTGACTCAGAGTAAGTTGTTAGGCCCTTTACAGATGTGGCTAGCCTGCCACAAATCATTTCTTAACTCCATTTATCATCTACCAACATAGTGTTGCTTTCCCAATTGAATAAATGTTTGCATGCAGAAAACATTCTGTAGATAATTGGCTTTATTGAGAATTAGAAGTCAGTGGAATATTACTTCATACTTTTTTTTTAATCCAAGGAGTTTTTCAATCCATTTATCAAATAAACTATGTGTGTGAGCCTGAAGATTTAGGTTAAAGCTAAAGCAAATTTGTAAAGTCACGGCTCTTCTTGCTAGGGCCTCATTAGCTCTTCACAGAACTAGTGATTGTGGATGTGGCTACCTTCTAACTCCAGGATCAAATATAAATTCCTATTTTGGGAGATAGGTAGGTGATAGAGGGCTGGGCCTAGAGTCAAGAAGACCTACGTTCAAATCTAGTCTCAGACAATTACTAGCTGTGTGACCCTGGGCATGTAATTTAACTTCAGTCTGCCTCAGTTTCTTCATCTGTATAACAGGGATAATAATTGCACCTACCTCTCAGGGTCATTGTAAGGATTAAATGAAATAATATTTGTAAAGTACTTAGTGCAGTGCTTGGCACATAGTAGGCATTACAAAAATATTGTTATCATTATCATCATCATCATCATTATTATTATTTTAAAGCCTTTTATAATCTTACCCCAACCTATCTTTGTACCTTTGTACACTTCACTCCTCCTCCCATAAGCTGTGATTCATCCAAACTGGCCTTCTCCCCGTTTCTCACACATTACTTTCCATCTCCCATCTCTGTGCCTTTTCATGAGAATGCACTCTCTCCTCACCCCACTTCATTGAGGCCCTCTCTTCCTTCAAGAGACAACACAAACATCACCTCCAAATGAAGCCTTTCTTGACCTTACCAACAGTGAATTCTCTTCCCACTACTAACTCCCTCATATTTAACTACCTTATATTTATTTGTATTTATTATCTTTAGATTTATTCCATATATACTGTTTATGTACTTCACGTCTCCCTTGTTAGAATGTCAGATTCTTGAGAGTCGGGATTATATCATTCCCTACTGTCTTTCCACAGTTCTTGACAAATGTGAGGTGCTTAACATGTTTACTGACTGATGAAAATTTGTGTATTGTTCTACCCACCTTGGCACTGGCATCCTTCTTGTATCCCTTACCACAAGGAAAACTTCAGGGAGAGGTGGGCAGGGTTGGGATATGTTAGCAACATAGGAAAATGTAGGGAGCAATGGTGAACATGTGACATCTCTATAAGGTTGATTGACTAAATCCATCAGAATTTTTCATACACGTTTAGCAAATGACCATATTAAAAAAGAACTCATATTGATCTCATTGTCCTCTTATGCCCTAATTATGTGCCAGCAACCCACAAAATTTCAACTAATTTCAATTCATCCAAAAAGCATTTATTATGCACCCAACATATATTGGGGAATATACTAGGTGCTAAGGATACAGGCATGAAACAAACAGTCCCTATCCTCAAAAAGTATATATTCCATCAATTTTTGCGTGATTTGTGAAGACTTCAATTAAAGATAGCAAAAGTATAGAATACACTTTTAGAGCTTAATTTGTTACTTCATCATAGTCAGCACTGACAAAATTGAGCATTTTACAAAGCATTTTTCCTGTATTATCTCATTCAATCCTCTTGACAGCCGTTAAGGTATTTACCAACACATAGGTACTAACGTATATTTTATCGATAAAGAATCTGAGACAAAGGGAGTTTGTGATGTAACCCTGGGGATAGGTAGTAAGTATGGTAGGTAGGATGCCAACCCAGATTTCACTTGACTTCTTTTTCAATGCTCTTTCCAACATACAACATTGCCTCTTCATCTTTATCCTGAAAAATACAGATGTGTCTCCCTATCTTTTTCCTGTATTGCCTTGGCAGCCCTGAGTATAGCATGGATTGGAGGGAGAAGAGACTTGAGGCAGGAAGACCAGTTATAACCAATCCTTTATGCCATAATCTAGATTTAAATCCACCATCTTCCCTATTAATCTTCAGCCTGTGTTTTAATATGGTCCCTGAATCCCAATACCGTTAATGAGGAGTTTTCCATGGTAAAGCATCTACAGTTAGCAAGATAAGACCAACTTATATGTTCAGAACCTAAAATAATGAGATATCTCAGGGAATGTGGCTGGGGGAGGCAAGAGAAGAAAGATTATTTTAATGTTTTGCTAGGTCCAATTCTATCAAAGCTGAGCCTGGAATTCTAGTCTATTATTTACAAAAGAAGGCATTCCTATCCAGAAAATTTAGTTTCACAGATTAGAGTCTTTGGCAGTACTCTAGATTCCCATTCAGATGGAATGTTCATGGAGAACAGAGTCATTTCCTTTCTAAGTCTTTGGATTTCTCCCATGGTTCCTAATATAGTGCTCTTTATACACTGAGGGGACAATAAATACTGCTGACTGGCAGGAGAGAAACCAAAAAGAATTGAAAATCAATGAGGAAATGTTAAAGGAATTGCAATTGACCCCAAAGAGAAGTACATGAGTATCTGAAGGGCAAACAAGAAGAGCAGTGATCAGATCTACAACTATTCAAAGAAGAAAGAAAATGTTTGTTAAGTTACAGAAGTGCTCTAATTTGCAGATGAAAAAAGACAGATATGTACAATTCACTTACGAATGAATCATCTAGATTAGTGTGGATGTGTTTGACATCCTTAATTCACAAGTAAAAAGCAGTCTTTGACTTAGACCATAATAATGAGTTAACTAATATTAACTGAAATTAGCCTTATTAACATTACTAGACAGAACAATTCTATCTCTTTGCTATAATCTGTGGAAAGACAAGGTTAAGAAAAGGACAAGAAAATATTAGGCAAAAGTAGGACTTTTGATGATTTTCCAATAAGATGTTCAAGAAATATTTTATGAATAAAATTAAACTGCACTTATCCAGTGAGTGGATAACTTTATTAACTGTGCTGTAATGTTTTAAATGACTGAGGAAAATGGATGTGAATGTCTGTAACCATAATTAAAATTGTGCTATATTTACTAGGCATTAGCGTGACTCGCACATCTTCCATGCAGTAATTGACCTAATTTATCATCGCATTTTCACTTGACGTTCTGGCTTAAGCCTCTGTAAATTTTCGCTACAAGTAGAAGATGCAGAACCAGATTTTCAAAGGCTGATGTCATAGTTCACCAATTAGGGCCTCTCAGCCACTTTCAATTTGTGAGTATCCCTGTCACCCAGTATTACCTCCATCAAATCATCCCACAAGGTGACACTCCAACAAGGCTCCCATCTTCCTAGTGTAAGAGATCCATTTTAAATTTTGGGAGCAAATACTCAGTCCCTTTGCACTAATGAAGTACAGACTTTTACCCTGTGATAAATAACCATGGTACTGTACCTACCAGAATACCCTGAGCACACCGTTTTAGAATAAGCTAAGGGAAAATTGTATTCCTAATAGTCTATTTATCATGTCAGTCATGGAAGTTACCATAAACCTTGCTATATACCTTTAAATTTCAAACAGCTTGCTAGTGACCATTTCAATAAAAGTAGACTGACAGACGACACAATAGATTTTTGCCCCTTCTTAGTGGATGGGCCTCTTTCTCATCACAGATCCTGAATGCAGTACTAGCTGAATATGTACTCTGCTCAGATGAGAACAAGGATTTTCTTGGAAGAGCTGGCTTATTGTTTGATTCAGACAAAGAGTGCCTTATCTGGTGAGTGACTTGTCATCTTATGTCGATGTAAGCTATGTAAAGAATGACTTTTCATTTAAGCAAGTTTAGCATATTTGCAATTGTCTTGGTCAGAGGGAAAGTTTTCTAGCTCAAATGGTAGTATTATAGCCTATGGTTTGTGCAATTTAGAAGTTGAGTCCATGATAGAAATCAGTAACACACACACACACACACACACACACACACTCACACAGAGTGTTCTATCTTTCCTACCCCATAAGAGGCCAGCAAAATACCATCTGGAGTGGTGGAGAAGGGAAGAGGGGAAGAGAAAATCCTCCCTCTACTGCTTCAAGAACAGCTCTAAATTGTGACTAGCTTGCATATCTTTTAAAAAATTCTTAAACCTCTGTTTAAGAGTTTTTCCTTTCAAAACAGTTTTAAAAAGCAGTTTATGCTCAGCTTCCCCTTGCCTCCTCTCCAGGGGGCAAATTTTCTTATGCTGTACTGATTAAGATTTCTGTAATGGCCTCCTGGCCCATAAAACAGACCTACCCATCACATCATCTATCAAATTTACCTGATCCAAATCCCCTTCCTCTAAAGGCCTATTCTTTGCTAACCAAAGGCTATTCTGCTCACCAAATCAAGGAAACTGTACTAATGTTTTAATCCTCCCCTTTAACAAGATGCTTTTTGACAAATAAAATTCACTTCCCTTTAAGAAAACTTTTAAGGAATAACCAATCCTAATGGCTATAGCAGATGAAAAGGTTCAATGTTTTGAGTCTAGGCTAGTCCCTTCAGAGATTTTCATATCACATCATGCAGGAAGCCATCTATATTATTACCTATGCCATAACCTGGTATACGACTTGTAAATAAATCAATGCAAGCACACTCAAAATTCATCAGCATATTTTATTCCATTGAGTCTTTTTGAGTCATTTTTCAGTCATGTCTGACACTTCATCAAACCATTGGGAATTTTCTTGGCAAAGATGCTGGAGTGGTTTGCCATTTCCTTTTACAGATGAGGAAACTGAGGCAAGCAGGGTTAAGGGACTTGCCCAGGGTCACATAGCTACTAAGTGTCTGTGGCCAGATTTGAATTCAGGAAGATGAGTCTTCCTGACGCCAGGCCTACCACTCTATTCCCTCACAATCTGGGGCAGCTAGGTGGCACAATGGAGAGAACACGTGGCTTGGAATCAGGAAGACTAACCATCTTCACAAGTTCAAATACTTACTAGTTGTGTGACCCTGGGCAAATCATTTAACCCTATTTTGACCAGTTTCTCATCTGTAAAAATGAGCTGGAGAAGGAAACGGCAAAGCACTCCACTTTGCCAAGAAAACCCCAAACGGGGTCATGAAAAGTCAGACACAACTGAAACAACTAAACAAGAGTAATTTTATTCCATATATAATCAGGGAATAACAGAGCTCTCCCAAGCTGATGAACTGTGCCATCCATATCTACTCTTTGGGCATAAGTTTCTGACTGAGATGGTATAGTTCTACTTTCTGACTTACTATGAGGACTTCAGGATCTGATTCTTTTAGGTAGCCAGGACAGAATAGCACAAGGAATTTAGCTGCAGCATGAAACTTGGTCTTTTTATACTTCAATTCCAACAATGAGAAGTCATGGATAGCCTAGTAAATTATTTGACCCACATGGCCTAAACCATAAGTTTGGTCCCAACTACATATCTTTGAAAAATCAGAGATTTTTTTATTTCATTTTGAGAGAACTGAGACATACAGAATCTAGCAGTAAAAAGATCAAGGATTCCTGGATTTCTTAACCTTTTTCCTCATGGTACTTTCTCTAAGGTGAACAATTTGTTTCCAAATGTGTGATGCTTTGATTCAATTTGCCAACATTAGCTATTTTTCTTTGTGGAGAGGCCTAGTTACAGGGATGATTGTGAAATCATTTGGAAAAGACGATCTTGTTTTTATTCTCCCTGTCAGCTATAATGCTTTTAAGATTACACAGGCCCCTAAAAGGGAAAGAGACTGCAGATGATTGGGCAATTCTTTAGTCATCCCCTTAGGCATCTTTCCCCCCCTTCCCCCGCCCCTTTCCATCCTAACTGCCAAATTCCACATCTCCAGACATTTTCCTCTCACGCATCTTTCAGAGAGCTGCTCATGTTGTACTTATCTGTCCACTTCCTATTGTTGTTTTGCAAGATCAGGCCCCAAATCTTCACCATATTATTCACCATGCTTCAAAACTTATCCCCAAACTAGACTGAATGTCGGCTACAGATACCTAAAAAAAATCTTGGTCTCCCCAAATACTTAGACCTAAAGTCAAAGCAATTGTTAATAAGTCAACTACAAGTCAAACAATCTTGATTCTGTAGGGGATGCTGCCCCCAAAGGAGTGGGGGGAAGGGGGAACAATATTCTAGCCCTCCCATAATTCACATGAATACTTCTTAGAAAGCACATTCAAATAATGAAATCTTTTCTATACTATTGAGAAGAAAACTACAGTAAATCATGCAGGAAGTACAACTGCTGAATGAGTACCAAATGGGCAAAATAACCATATGGCATTGTATGTGTAGGCACTTCACTATACATGGTTTTGACATTTCCAAAACTGAAGCCATTATCTTCCTCACAAAATCTGCCCCTCCCCCCAACTCCCCATTTATGTTGATGAAACCACCATTTTCCCTATCACCATGGCTTTAAATCTGGTTGGGGGCTCTCTTTTATTCTTCTCTCTCCCTCATCCCTGACATTCAAGCTGTTGCAAAGTCCTACTGTTTCTCTCTCCTAAATATTTCTCACATCTGTCCCATCTTCACTAGAAGTTCTAATATCCTGGCTCAGGCCCTCATAGTTTCTTACCCAAAGTATTTCGATAGACTTTTTTCCCCAATCAAATTGGAATGTATTTTTTCCAATTAATAAACTTCTATTTTCTTTCTGTTCCGCCTCCCTCCCCCCCCAAAAAAAAGATAAAAAAAAGAAAAACTCTCATAACATATATATTCTCAAGTGAAACAAATTCCCATATTTACTATATCTAAAAATGAATATCTCACTTTGTAGATTGAGTTGATTACCTCTTTTTTCAAGAGGTACATTCTTCATCATTAGTATTCTGGAATCATAATTTTCCTGGCTTCTATTCTCTCCTAAGAAGCCCACTCTGTAATTCATTGGCCAAAACTTATCTTCTTAATGTGTAGGTGTGACAATGACACATCCCTGTATTTGTGCAGGCTGTCCTAAAATATGCTTCCTCCTCAGCTATGGTTGTTGAATTCCTTCTCATTCTCTAAGGCTTGATTTAGCCCACCTGCCACTGCCTGCCTGACACTTTCTGTGATACTCCCATCTAAATGTCTTCTCTCCTTCCTTATAATTTCCTAACAGATTTTGTTTGTATCCTTGCTTCGTCTCTATTATGTTACACAAAGTATTATATTTATTTGTATACTTGCTACACACAGAGAGAATTTAAAAGCTCCAAGAGACTATATATTTTGCCATTTTTTTTTCCATTTTTGAACCTCCAGGAATTAATGCCTTGAGAATAGTAAATATTTATGGGCAGCTAGGGGGTGCAGCAGATAAGAGCACAGGGGCCCGGAGTCAGGAATGTTCATCTTCCTGAGTTCAAATCCAGCATAAGTGCTTAGATGCTGATGTTGGCAAGTTAAAAAACTAATAACAATAACAATAAAATAACAGCAACAACAATAATCCTGCATATTGATGTGGCACTTTAAGGTTTTAAAAGTACATTCCTTGAGCATATAGTCCTTTCCCTTAAAAAAATTTACAGGGGTTAGCTAAGTGGTGCAGTGGACAGAGCACCAGCCCCAGAGTCAGAAGGACCTGAGTTCAAATCCGGCCTCAGACATATAACACTCACTAGCTGTGTGACTCTAAGCAAGTCACTTAACCCCAACTGCCTCTCTCTCTCTCTCTCTCTCTCTCTCACACACACACACACACACACACACACAAATTACAATCTAGGAGGAAACTATAATGCAAACCATAAGTGAATTGGAGGGGTTAGAGTGATGGGAATGAAAGAATAAGGAAAGAATCACTTTTTTTGTGGCTAGGCAATGGGGTTAAGTGACTTGCCCAGGGTCACACTGCCAGTAAGTGTTAAGTGTCTGAGGTCAGATTTGAACTCGGGTCCTCCTGAATTCAGGGCTGGTACTCTATCCACTGTACCACCTACCTGCCCCAATCACTTTTCTTGATAAAAGGTTTTAAGAAACTTATCATGGAAGAGTGAAATTCAAGCTGGGCTTTGAAGAAAGAGAAGGATTTCAACAGCAGATAAATAAAGGAGGTCTATTCCAGGTACAATGTAGTGCTTTTACCTGTCTCGGTATATGTAAGTAGGAGTTGGTAGGAAAATACTTGAAAATGGCCAGTAGTCTAATTTATCTGGAATGTGGAATTTGAGATGGTAACTACTATGGGAGTAAAAATTTAGGAAGTTTCCAGATAAACTGGAGAAAAATCATGGAAGGCCTTCAAGGTCCTAATGATTCCAAGGAAGAGGTAAGGGAAAAGTCTTCAACAACCTTCTGGCTACTGGGATCATAACTGAAAGAAAAGCTGTACCTCCAACAATGCCCAGTGTCTAGAATACACACTAATCAATCTGACCTATTATCTCTTAAAGGAAATGACCAGAACATCATTGGAAGTGAATTTGGATCTTATTCGCTTTCAGAGAGAATGTTTCTAGGTGGGTTTTATATATTCATTTTCACTCATACATTCTCATATATTCTCTCTCTCTCTCTCTCGCCTTTCTGTCTTTTTTTTCAGTGTTTGACTCACAGTGCATTTTTGCAGACCAGTCAAAACTTCTCTCCATTCATAATGACCTTTCTCCTCCCTCACAGCTACTGATTTGGGTATTATTCTATCTCAAGAACTAAAATGCCCATCTTCCCATGAGTGGGAGAAGATAATGAATGCTCCAAAGAAATCTTTAACAAATCAGGATTGAAGATCATTTAAAACAAGCTGGCATATTAAAACAATAAATGACATTACACTAATAAGATGGGGAGGCAGTGAAAACTGCCCCTTTGTGCCTAGTAACTGCTACACATCATGTTCTTGCTAGGGAGTAAAACAATGTGATGATTGTTTCATACAGTACACTGTATTGTTACATAAAAAATAGATTGCAAGTTGGTTTTACAAACAATGCAGAAAGAAGTTGTACCTTTGCATAAGAAACAATACCCTCAAAATGAGGTAAGCAGATACTATTCTTAAGTTGTCATCAGAACTGCCAGGAAAGCAGTAGGTAGGCAGCACTGTACCTCCGAATGACCAGGTACTCAGCAACTGAAATAAGTGGGTGAGACTAGAACAGAATGTTTACAGCATAATAATTAAAAATAAGATCCCACTCAAGTTTAGAAATACATTCTCAGTTTTTTTCTCTTAGAATTTTAAATAAGTTTAAGATATTACTTTGAAGTTCAAAACACTATAAGGGTGCTCAGCATTATTTTGTATGTGTTCTGTTTTAGCTTAAATTTTAAGTTTCTAATTTTCTCTTTAGGTTATTCTTTGATCTGACAATTAGGTATCTGTTATAGACAATCTATAGACATTTTAGTCAAGACTACATCTTCTGCAAATGATACTCAATCAACAAATATTACCTTGCCATCTTAACATAAGCAGTTTTCTTCCCTGCTCTGTAATGAAGTCATGGTATTGTATTCTATATCGGTTCATAGTATATGAGCTCATCTTGAAGGGAGGCAATCATTATTTATAACATATAATGCTAAAGTCACTTTTTACAACTAGTAGTTAACAATGAATGAAAGGGCAAATGTACACTGAACATAAGTGTAATCAATACCATCTAAAACACTTCCGTATTAGATAGTGGTCCACAGAAGGAAGAGGGCTACTTTTTCCCAATAAACTTTTCTGAAATTAATGAAGGGCAAATGAGTGCTCGTTTATAATTTTACTTTAGGTCCCAGAATTTAAACTTACCTCATTGGCAGAAAAAGCAGAGATTTTATATATTTTTACATGTGATTTCAGAATTGCAAAGGGTAATGATTACTTTGTTGAATCCAGAAAAAAAAAAAGAATTATTTTTTTGCCACTCTTCTGACATGAGAATGGCCAGAGATATCAACCAATCAGTAAATATTTATTAAGCACTTACTGATGGGGTGTGGGCCCAAAGAGAATCTGGCTCTACAGGCCCCAACTCCTTATCTCCCTTTGAAAGCCTTAGCCCCACCTTTTGATCTTATTCAGATGCACCTTCACCCCTAGCCCTAAAAAGAATCTGGCTCCCATTTGTCTACGGGTCCCAGAAAACCCTTAAACTTTTAGATACCTTATGGACTCCCTTTATCTCCCTTTGAAAGCCCTAGCCCCACTTTTTGATCTTATGTAGATGCCTTTCAAACTTCTTCCTACCAGTACCTCTATCTATTCCCATTGTCTATTCAATCTCTCAGACCTTCCAATCAGAATTCTCATCTAGACTCTTTTCCCAGCCCCTGGCCACCCAAAGTTACTTTAGTGTATACAAGATCCACCCTGGCCCCCATTCAAACGCTGAGACTTTCTCATGCCCAAAAGGCTGAGACTCTCTCATGCCCGCTCGTCCCTACGGGCATTACTAATGTTCAGATTCCTTAAGAGTCTGGCCTGTATGTTTTATTTCTAATAAACTTTTTCTCTGGCTAGAAGAAGATTTGAATTTAATTCATTCAGACAGGGCCTGCGTCATGATCTTGGGGTTCAAGCACCCCAAACCTCTAGACCTCATCACTTGCTATGTTCTAGAAACTGTAGTAAGCATTGGGGAAACAAAGAAAAATGTGAGAACAATCGCTGTCCTCAAAGAGCTTACATTCTAATGGAAGAGAGAACATATGACTAAATAAACATATTCAAGTGGATTCATAGGGGAAGGATTTATCTTGCGTATCTTCTAAGAATGATACCATGATAACCACATCGTAGTTAATTATCACAATTGGCATAGTTTATACTTCACCAGATCATGTTTTTTTATCTAATCAGAACTATACAACCCTGTCATCTGTCCTACCCATTTTATACACACATACACACACACACACAAAATCTACTTCCACGTGGGGTATAGCTCCGTGCTGCCTCTCTTCCTGGAAAGGTAGGAAGAACTTACTGACTGCTACGAGGATCAACTCACCATCCCTGTGACTCCACAGACATTCCCTTCCCTGGACACCACAATCATTTGAATATATAGTCTCCCCTCATTAGAATATAAACTCTTAAAGGGTAGTACTGAGTCATTTTTATATTTCTAAGGGGTGTTTAATGTGGGAATGTTTTGTTTTGACCATGTTGGTTATGTATATCTACATGGGTCTATCTAGAGGTAGCTTTCAAGGAGGCAAGAACAGACATCTCTAGTGTCTCTTCCCCATTCCCCTACCTTTCTTTAAGGAAGATTTTGGTGCCAGTAAAGAAAGCAAGAGGTGGAGACCAAAGGCTGGCCGCTCTGCTCTCCTCAGAAAGAGGAATTTTTTTTATCTGATCTCTTAAATATTGTTAATCTAGGGGGCATATTTTTTAGGTTTAAGCTACTGATTGCTACACTTTAATAAGGAAGGGTATATAACCAAGCTATATATCCAAGGCTTGGCCCCCTTCCCACCAGATGCCAGTTGAAGAATGAACATATACAGCAAATAGCACAGAAACCACTTTACCTAAGTTGAGAGCAAAACAGAATCAGAGAAAGTATACATATAAGAATATATACAATACAATAGAAATTGAAAAGCCCTCTCATTGGTAATGGGATAACTTAGCTCCACAAAGACAGAGTCCTATATCTCACCCCAGAGGAAATTACCTGAAATCTAGTACATAAAGATGGGAATAGGGACATGACTCAAGTGCTACATGTTGATTCAATGCTGACAACCTCATATGTAGCAAGTTTAAGGAAAACAAACTTCACATATAGATCGCGTAAGTACTGAGTGAGATGGATAGTCAGCAGCCATGCCAAAACTCACTCCCTACCTGCTACTTGACTGATTAACTTATTAATTCTCTCATTCCAGGTTCCAAGGCAATTAAAGTATATGTTCTAATGCTTCTTCACAAATTATAATGAGATTTGTTATTTTACTAATCAATTAGTTCCAAGGTCTTTGCCTCAATTTATTAAACAAGAAAAGTCTATTTTCCCATAAACTTCTCCATTTTTTCTCTCTGTCAAACCATCTATTCTCTTAGACATAACATATATCAAGATTATTGACTGTACAATTTAATAACACTATAAAATATTAAAACAGATTCTTCTTTTACAACATGACTAATGTTGAAATATGTCTACATGATTGCACATGTGCACCCTATATCAGATTGCTTGCCATCTTGGGGAGGAAGGGATGTGAGGGCAGGAAAGAGGGAAAAAATTTTTGAAACTCAGAATCTTATAAAAAATGAATGTTAAAAACTATCTTCACATGTAATTGAAAAAAATACTATTAAACAAAAAATAAAATAAAAGTTCATGGTACTATGCATAATGAGTAAAAGATAAATAAATAAATAAATAATTGAAATTCAAAAATATTAAAAGATAATTATCTACAATGTTTTGGTTATGAGGGGTCATATTCAAGGTTACCACTAACCATCACACTGAGATCAGCTATGTCTCAGAGCAGCAAAATCTCTCAGGAATTCTCTTAATTATTATTATTCACAAGATAAGAATTAAATTTAAGGTCTTAAGAAAGGAATTCTTAGTCTTTTCTCTTTGTTTTTTATTGAAAGTGGTATTACAATTCTCCCCAATGGGAAAAAATTTTGAGTCCTTCAAAAAAAATGGTTTGGAGTATATAGAATATACATATCACAATTGAAAGTACCACTTGAAAGTATGTTTAAAGGATAAAAAATAGAACACTATTAATAGTAGTAATAATAATAAATATAAATAATAATATAATATATAATATAATATAATACTAAATAAATATAATAATTATTCATTCATAACATTTATATACAAATCAAAACATAAAACACAGATGTTTGTATATAGATACCTATACATATAGTATGTAAATATGTCTACATATGCACATAAATACATATAGTGTGTGTATAGTTTATTGTGTGTGTATGCACACATACAATGAACTACATCTAGATGCATGGATAACTTCATCTACAATATTGTAATTTCACTTATAGGGTTATAAATTTAATGACTCTGGTTATTTTTTAAATGCTGATCTTTACATCAGTACCTAAGTTGACTGATTATATAGGATCACTACAAGTACTACTAAACTATTTTCTCCTTATCTTAGCATACTTTAAAATTTTGGTTCTATGTGAAAATGTTATTACCTCTGGGTTTTAGTCTCTCCCTTTGTCTGAACTGGGGTCCTCCTCATTCCTAGGCAAAGTTATCAAGTTTCTAGATTCAATTTGTTTCACTAAAAACAATGTTTCTCTCAAGAGCTCTCTTTGATTGTATAGCAAGTCATCTTTCCATGTCCCTGAGCTATTGTTTTAGTGGAGCAGCTTCCTTTTGAGCATCATTTAATAGTTCTTTCGCATCAAGGTGACAGTTTATTTCAGACTAGCCAAATTGTAGGAAATGCATGCCTTTATTCCATTTCACTTTCCAGTTTCTTCTTCTGAGATACCTCATATTCAAGTTTTTCTGCTTCATTATCAAAATGTCTGTTTACTCTCTGTTCCACATCTCTCCTATATTCTCTAAACACACACATTTTGGGGCAAACTTTTTGTTATCTTGCTTCAGTTCTCGATGACATGCTTGGCCTCATTTAAGTATTCATTTGTCAATCTTAGCTCCTTGGATGTCAGTTTCCTTTGAACCAAATGACAATTCCCTTCTTAAGTGTACTTAACCTATGTATGGCTATCTTATTCTACATTTATAGTATAAGTAGTTACGCTTCTCTCAATGTATCTTGATGCATCTTGCTATACCTTAAATTGTCATCTCTGTTGACAAGATCATGTTTATTCTGTTGAGTTCCAGGACAACCTTCATCTTTGGCCTCATCTTCATTTTCCTTAT